TACGCGGACGCTTTATTTTCGCGTCGAGGCCGCGCGAGCGAGAAGAGCTTTTATAAGTGGTATACTTTGTGAAGGCGTTTATTGAGAGGGAGATGGAATTGACGGCGCGAAACTTGGTATTTTCGGCGCCGACTGTGAACGTTATTTCGCATAGAGCAATTGAGTTTTTTTTAGTTTTATTACGAGCAGTTCTTATTTTAAGATGAAATGAAGTGTAGATTTTTGATTGGTTTCTCGTCTGCTTAACTAGGTTTGAAGCGGTATACGAAAGGCGACACGTTAGACGTGAAAGTTTGCTCGCCTCTGTATTCTTAGAGTTTGAAGAAATGAATTTTTCGCTATTTTCACCTTTTAATTCTGTCGTCGGAGCACCTGTGCTGTCGATCTCGTCGAACTTTTCAAATTTCTCGCGCGATATTAAAATCTGTTCGTGCTCTCTATCCCCGAGTCGTCGTCGCCTCGCGCGCAATCCAAGTCTATCGGTGACGAGGCGCCGTCAAAGGAGTACGGAGGAGAGAGCAACTTTTTGTTTCTCGCTCGTCCATTGTCCGTGCACGCGACCCCCTCTCACCCTCATTTCCGCGGGCTCGTGCTAAAGTGAACCGACCAAGGCGCGCGAGACTGCTCCTTTGTTCGATTTCGCAAGCTCGCTCGATAGATGGATATTGCCATCAAGATTGAAAAACAGCCGCGCCAGAAGGACGCTTCCAGTTCGCTTTGCGGTAGACGCTTTGTCGAATCGTATTGCACGTTTTGCCGCTTTTATTTCGTCAATGGAGCTTAGATGTACTTTCGCTGGAGTTTACGCGATGCTCTAACTCTTTTCAATTATTCGATGAGACTTTGCGATTGCATCATTACGCCATTGAGAATCTCATCGGTCCTTACCTTTTATTTTTAAAGAACAGATTGCGTTCAGTGCGAGAAATAAGTTGGACTTGGCTGATTATTTCAATATTGACGCAATTAAAACGATAAAACGGTCAAACGTAAATGTAAAACCGTATAAAAGTAGCCATGCCACGTTTGATCAAAAGCTACAAATAGAAAACTTGTTCGTTTGCTTTCAGTCAACAATGAAAACGAGAATATCCACATCTGAGAAGGCTCGCATTCAACGGCGCTGTCGCAGTAGCGGTAAGTGTTGACAAAACATTTTTGTTTCCGCATCGCCAACAGCGCAGTAGTGACGATGCCGAGTTATAACCAGGCACGCGGCAGCGTAAAAATGAGCATCACCACAGCGAAGACAGTAATGTAGTTTCAGCGTAGCAGCTCATCATTTCGCGCGACAAACCAGAAAATCTCGCCGAAAAAAGGACAACAAAAATACCCCCGTTAACACCTGCGCCCGCGCTCATTTGCGACAAGAATATTGTCAAGCTCTGTGCAATATCTCTGTGTGACCTTCGGCCCAACTCTCCGCCATTGAAATTCGCGGCGCAATTACGTGACGCGCAACGTAGGAGATGCGGCTAATCCATTGAATGAGTTCAGCGAACCGTAAGCGAGCAGAGCAGGCAGTTACGGCATATACCGGCGCGACAATGCCGATTCGCGCGTTCAGACAAAGATCTCTCTCGCCAATTAATGTCCGCCGCGCGCGCCTGTTAAAGGACAGAGCTGTGTATCGCTTTTGCGGTCTTGTCGATGCCGAAAGGAACAGCCCTATTACGTGCTTCTACCTTTCAACCGATTTCTATAGAATCGCTATGTGTCGGCTGTGCAGTGAGATTATTTTTGTGGCTTGCGAGCGTCGACAATGGAGTCTTTGGCAAAGTAAGTCGTTACATTGTAACAGGCCACTTCTTATTTTTGGACAAGTTAATTTAATTGACTCGCCACACGGCAGCTGAAAAATATTCGCGCGACACGCTTGGAGAAAGCAAGGCGAAGAAATAAACAATAGTGACAGCAGTCGAGTCGTACAGAGGCAAGAAACAAAGCGAACTCGATAAGGCCTGTTTGTTTGGGGGCGGGCTGGGGAAGGGGAGGGGGAGGGTGGCAGAGGCAACGTTGCGCGAGAAAATTCCGGTGGCGAGCGCTTCTAACGAGAGCAATTCTACGGTTCGCCCTCTTAATTAATACAACTTTTATTATTGTTTCCTTGAACAATTCAACCGCGCTTTCGCTCCCTTTAAACTTTCGCGCATACCTCGCGCTCGAGCCGCTGATTTTTCCTTTTGTGCGTGCGCGCCCACTGTCTTCTCTCGCGTTTGCTTTTTTGCTTATTTAGTTTTTGCACAGCGTTGCCGTCCGACGACGAGAGTTATTCAGCGCTTTGCCGGAGAGAGCAAGAGAGACTACGCTGTTGCGCGACTACTGCGCTAGTATACCGCGAGGACTGTTGTGTTTGACTTTTGAACATGACGAGTCCCGTGTCGGAGATCCCGCAGACAACACCGGAGGATCCTTGTCTCTGTGCGCAAAAATTGTTTGCTTTGGCTGTTTCAATTTTTTATTTTCTTACACTCATATCGCTATAACGGCTGAAATATATATTTTTAAAAAGTCGTGTAAAAATAGATTTTGTTAGATTTCCAGCCCACGCAAAAGCAAATACATACGAGAATTCCCATAGCAATGATATCTTATGCGCAGAATTATATATGAATTTCAAATGAAATCAAGTTTTTATTTGAATTTATCGAAGAGAACTGTGGATAAGATATCTGAAACGCAATAATAGCACCATAGAACGTGCCCACTAGACTTTAGCAAGAGCTGGAATAGTCCTCTTGAGAGTTTTTCGTAAAAGAAGTAAGGTCGGCCCTGAGCACTTGTACGTAAATATCAGAGTCGAGTAGCCGTAGAGGCATAGACAACAAAGAGGCACGCACTTAGCGTGTGCGGCGTAGATGGGCATGGGCATGGGCATGTGCAGCGCGCAAACTGTTGTCGAGGTGCGCTATGCTACTGCCTCGGACGCGATACACCTCGGACGTTAACGACATTTGCGCTACCGCCGTTGGGTGGGAGTTTAGTGCGCGGACGTTGGTCAGTGTTGGAGTAAAGTCACTGCAAGCTGCTGACACTCTTACGTCGTCGTCTAGTGGTCAACACTGAGCGCGTGTACGTGTGTACACGCGCCAACCGCAAAATGGTCGTCGTACATACCCTGAGAACTCGCGATGCTGCTACGCGGACCAAGTTTCCGTTCAAGTTTGCCACCTCCGTACGCGAATATCGTGCTTAGCAAAATCAATGATACTGACTTTCCGACCCGAAGTTTCGCCAACGACCTTACATCGGCCGCCGAGCTGCCACCACGTCCCTCTCTTCGCGCGCTAATGGCCCACGTACTTTGCCCCTCCCCCCGCGCAAGCTTTTCCACACTTGTTAGACTGCCGGTTAAACGGTTATTAGCCGGCTTTTTCAGTTTTTAATGAAAATCACGAAATCTCTTACTTACTTTCGAGAGAGCTGCTTACTTTCAGTTTACGGATAAATTAATTTTAAGCTTCTTCCTTCCATTAGAGAGTCATTTAATAATTACAGATGCGTCTGTGGTACATTATCCTTGTCGCTGGACATTGCGAATAAACGGAAGCGCCTTTAGCTCATATAATTAAATACAAAATTAGGAAGCTTTAATGGTTTGATTTTGAAAATGTCGTATAAACTATAAAACATTTACGGCCTATTAACGATTAGTTCATTGTCGATGGTTCAGTGTTTGCAAGTCAGTAATGCAATACAAGTAATGCGCGTCGCTATGAAAAGGTAAAGTCATTCCAACACTCTTATTTATAATGCTTCGTCGATAGAGCCAACTCGCTTGGCGAGTGTTTCCAAATGGTTTCAATCTTAATTAAAACAGCGAGCGATTAAGCCTTTTCGCAGTCCTTTTATGCCTCGGCCGGCAGTAGAGAAGATAGGAGTACGAGGAGAGGGGGGGAGGAGGAGTCAGAAAAGTCCGCGCGCGGTGATGATGGGCGCTGGCTCTCGAGCTAATTGCGAAGGGTAGGAGGAGAGGATTAAAAATATTTCCGATACGAGCAAAGGAAAGTGAGGCGCGGGGAGGGGGAGGGAGGCATGAGCGCTTGAATTATAACGCGAGAATGCAGGTTATGCATCGAGGAGCAGCAGCTGCCGCGAGCACGAAACGAAGAAGGAGGAGGAGGAAAGTCCAAGTAATTAACAACTTTTTGAAGCTGAGGATAATCTCCGGACAGATTCCCTTCGTTTGCCCCAAAGAGTTTTAGCGTCGCTAAGCCGTGACCATTTGCCTGTCGAGCCTCGACGATCCTTCACGATTCTACCACTCTTTTTCTCCCTGCCTCGTCACCGTTCACGGAGAAAGCGTCGTCTCCCTCGTGCACGCGCCTGTTTATAATTAAACTTTTTCCGAGCGCAAGCTCTCTCTCTCTCTCTCTCTCTCTCTCTCTCTCACTCTCACTCTGTGTCTTTTTCTCTCGGTCTTGTACGTTTGCCGGATCCTTAGTGATTCTAATTGTCGTTAAGCTATGGCCCTTCCGTTAACACTCTGCTCATTTTCGTTTTTTAGTTATTTTGCTCTCGTGATCATACATACTTTTTGCTTTCGGAGACTATTTTTTATTTTTCTTTCGAACAGTGAAAAAGAATCAAAGATTTGCTGCAGATACGAAACGATTGGTTTTAAAATGACTGATTCTTTGGAAAATTGATAATCAAAATAGCTTGGTAAAATATGCTTGTTACAATTTTTGTTCCATCACTGGTTTTGCATTTTCGAATCGTTCATTGATCCAAACCTTTATAAAACAATCTTTATTAAATCTTGTCATATTAAAGAAACTGTTAATAAAATATATTAATACAATGGTAATAATTTATTATTTTTATTTATGGAAATACTTAACAATTTATATCTTGGTTGAAGTTGTGCTCGATTGGTGTAGGCAGTACGGAAAGAAAACAACTTTTGATGCTTTTTTATACACTTAGACAATTATTGCCATGTGAATAAATTTATTATTTGAATAGTTTACTATTATTAAACTTTTAATTTTTATTAATTAATTGATAAATCCCCAATAAGATTTTATTAAATCAGCTGCTTTCTCAGCAACTGCAATTGTTGGAATATTCAAGTGGGCTGTTGGTATCATTGGCATTATTGAAGAATCTGCTACCCTTAAATTTTTTATTCCTTGCACCTGTAAACATGATATTATTTTATATTTTAATATGGAAGTGAAATAAAATATTTTAAATAAATAAAATTTGCCTGTAATTTTGTGTTAACAACTGCTGACGGATCATTTTCTGCACCCATTTTGCATGTTCCACAGTGGTGCCAGATAGTTAATGTAAAAGTTCTAAACGCACACTCCCAGTATGAATCTGAATCTAGTACGTGATTTTCACATCCAGGAACAATCGCGTCATTCATTCTTGATTCATATCGTTGAAGTGCTTTACTTTTAGTTATTTCGATTGCTGCTTTGATAATTTTTATTCCCACTCGTATATCCTCGGGATCAGAAAAGTAATTTGCATGTATTTTGGGATTATCTTTAGGATCTGCACTTCGTAGGTATACTTTGCCTCGGCTTTTAGGCTGAATAAGTACTGGAAAAAGAGCATAAGCATGACGGAAAATTGTATTACCAAAGAATTTTTTAAAGAAACTTTCTTTAAACCCGAAAACTTTATGCATTAGTAATTCTGATCCAAAGTGTATATTGACGAATATAATTTCTGCATTCGGCTCTTCATTGTCGAGGCTCGAGTCGTCAACGTTTAAATATCCTAATCCTTCAATAGCGGTTGGTGTTGTGAATGGACCCGATCTTTTTGTAAGATAATCCGATAAAGCAGGATTGGATGGTTTTATGAGTTCTGGTACTACAATACTTTCAGTTTCATTGGTTAAAAACGACAATCCTCCGTAAGCAATATGATCCATCAAATTTTCACCAACAGGTGCACTTTTCAAAACACTGATATTGAAACTTTGTAAATGTTCTGCTGGACCAATTCCGGAGAGCATAAGAATTTTTGGTGAACCTATTGCTCCAGCGCATACAATCACCTCTTTACTTGCTATTACTTCGATTTTTCTATTTCTCTTTGTAAATTCTACGCCGTAAGCAGTTTTGGTCTCAGGATTGATTAACACTTTATTCACATGACTATTCATACTGACAAATAAGTTTTTCCGAGTTTTGATGGGATGCAGGTATGCTCGATTAACGCTCATTCTTTCCCCATTAATTTGATTAGTTTGCAAATAAGCGAAACCTGTTTGTTGACCACTGTTGTAATCGACTACAGTTGGGAATCCAAATTCTCTACCTGATTCAACAAAGGCATGTACAAGCGGAGATTGATAAGCTGCGTTCGTGACGCGTACTGGCCCGTCATAGCCATGTGCTTCTCTTTTTGTATTTGCTAGTGGGACATTATATTTTTCTAGTTTTTTGAAATATTTTAGCATTTCGTCCCAAGACCAACTATTGTCACCAGTCAGTTCAGCCCAAGTATCATAGTTTTTTTTATTACCTAAAAGTACGTATAATATTGTATAAAATATTTTCTTAATAATATGCCTGTGTTTTGTATTAGGTTAAGAAGTAAGGAAAAATATCAAGGTCGTACCTCGAGTAACCATCATGTAATTCACAGAACTTGTTCCTCCCATTCCTTTGCCAAATGGAATTTTACATTGTTTATTATCGATTCCTAGGCAATATTGATTTGAAGGTTCGGTTAAATATCCCCATTGCTTATTCTTATCAAGTTCTAAATAAATGGCAGTTAAAGGGATATCCATGATTAAATTCTCTTTGCTTCCTGCTTCGATTAAAAGTACTCTAGCCTCTTCGATTTCTGTCAGTCTATTTGCGATGGTAGCTCCTGCACTGCCGGCTCCAACAATAATAAAATCATATTCTTGTTTATTCGACGGCGTAATATCGTGAAGCTCATTTGCGGTCAGTTTGAGAGCATCGCTTATAAATTTTAAACCGCCAGTTGTTAGCAGTATCAAATTTTTTAGTATCTGTATTATATTGTCTATGATACTTTGAGAATTTGCGGGAGTACTGAATATTGACAAAGCAGCGATACAAATGAATACTAGCCGTAGGTTCATCTTGTTAATTATTCCAAGATTTCTCCACAGTAAATTTAGACGATGACTGAAAACCAAAATTTTATTTCTGAAAATCAAGTAATCTTTATCTTATAAAAAAAATGTTACTCATCTGACAAGTTGAATTCTTTTTTGGACGTAATAAATCGATGAAATGAGAAATTCAACTTTGATCATGTTCATGAAAAAACAAATTAATTATAATTATCTGGTTAAATTACATAAGCATTTAAAATTTTCGTTTTTGAGAAATAATCAAGTGTTTTCAATTTATGCAAATATGCTTACAGAAGAAGCGTGTAAGACATTAGATATTTTGTTTCTTAATTTTCTAGAAAGTAAATAGATATGATAGAAAATTAAATAGCAGTATTTAATATGTCAAACTTATATTTGTGTAATCTAAATTGCTTAATTTTCTTTACGAACGTACCTGGATGTTTCAGTATGCTTTTATGAGAATAATATTTCTGTACGTACACCTCTCTAGTTTTACATGCGCAACCATGCGAAACTTGATAATTACGACATAGCACGGCATGCAGTTGCAGACTACATGTGGCTTTCTTTTATATCGTTACTGTGTAACCGGTTTTATATTTTGAGCAAGGTAATTAATGCAACACTGAATTATCTTTCATGGCGAAAAACTACAATACTGTATCTCACGCAGAAATATTGTCAAAAAAATTATTATTTCATGATATCTGAAAAAAAATAATGTCAACTTTCTGTTTTTTTTTTTTCTTTATTTTTAGTTTATTACGAATTCCATATTTTTATAGAAGATAACGAAGGATATTTTATGTATCAGTATAAATGAAGATTTCTTTTGTACAAATAAATGCTCAATTGTTATTTAATTGATAAAAATCAAGTGGATTAATTACATTTTAAAAATTAAACTCAGTGAATCAGTGAAACTCAGTGGAACTGAACTCAGTGGAACACGCTTTGTACTTACGTGACGGAATTTTCGAGAAATTCAAAGCTCATAATTTTAATTTTCCATAGAGAGATCACTTTTACGTTTATTTCACAAGGTAATAAAAATTTGATTTTACAAGCACGGACTTGAATAGTAGAGGATTTTGAAAATAAACAGAATATAAGGTAGATGATATGATTGATGTACGCCATCGGATGGCTCTTCTATTGTCAACTAGCTTTTAATTAGGTATCTAGTCGCACTAACCTGCTGCTCGAATCGCTGCCTTATGCTCACATAGAACGTGAGAAATGCATTGTTCTTTAAGCAATAGAGGATGCTCACGACTTTCCTCTATAAGGTTATGGCTATAGTATATAGGCGTTTGAATTTCACCATGCGTGAAACAGTAGCATTGTGACGCGACTAACTGATATTTCCTAGTATGGCAATGCCTGCCAAATGTCGTATACGTATTTTTTTCACCAACAAAATCTTTTGTATGTTTGTGCACGTGGTATATAACACTTTAATCTTAAAATGTCTTGTCTTTAATAATATAATTTTTAATGATGTCATACTTAGAGTTTGATAAAAGATAATGTTTCTTTGTTTTTTGAAAAATATGATGTTTTATATTAATCGTTAAGTTCTTATACAGAAATTTTGAAAACATTTATAGAATTGAAATATTCTTAAGCATACTTTTTTTTCGTAAATTTTAATATTATTTAGAAAAACTATCGACTGAAATCATTGAGTTATTGGCGGATGATTGAAAAAAGATTCCAATGGAAAAGAGTGTTTTGACCACTTGTCGACTTTTGCCAGACCGGAGCCCCGAGCAAAGGAAGAGATGGGCTTATTGCGTGCCCACAAGGAAATACGAAATTATTTGTCGAGTGTATAGGAGCGCGACAATTTTGGGTCAATATTTTCCGCAAACATGAAGCAACACTTATCCGAAAATATGTGTAGAGGCTCTCGCTGTCGATCGTCAGCACCACAGTATTGACATTATCTAATTGGCTATCTTCGCATTCCCCCTTAAGCTTCTAAAGGGCTTTGACAGTGATACGTTTGCGTTGAATTTATAAAAATATGATAATGCTGAGTAAACGTGTAACTTGTTCAATTGGTGTTGGTTTCCGATACACTAGCATGACATTTGACAGCCCCTTTCAAAACAGTTATTATTCTGACTGTGTGGTTGTGTGAAAAAGATAAAAATTACATATGTTTGGCAGTGTGATGGGGGCTTTATAAAACTATGTAATCGAATTTTGAAAGCGAACGAAGAGCGACAGGGCAAGCGGGGTAAGCATGTAAAACGTTGTCGCGCGTTTCACCTGCACGGTACGTGCATGCGTGTTGTCGTAGTATATACGCATGCAGATGCCAGGTCAGCCAGGCAAGCAGGCATACGCGAAACTTTTGCGTTAAGCTGCGGTCGAGCCGTTGTAGCGGGTGGCTGTATTTGCAATCTAGAATGGAATCTGTCGGCTCCAGACATTATTTAGCTTTCGCTCTCTCCTTTTAACCCAAAAATCCCAGGCCCAGTAGCGTTCGTATACAGTATACCTACAAGGTTAGAGGCTGGCGTGCGCGTGCGAGCCGAACCTTCAGGGTGAAGCGCTTCAAAATGTCAGATCACGCGCCGAGAGTATGTGTATTCCGCTTTTGCGCTGCTGCTGCGGTGCGGCGCTTGATCGATTAATTAAAAATAGCCAGAGTTTAAGTTAGAAAATTTTCTTGCGATGAGAGATTGATCGCTTCTCCAAACTTTTCACATTCTTCCTTTGTCATGCTTTCGGATTGACGCTTTTGCTAAAAGTTTAGACGGTAGTTTTTTTTTCGTATAAATCTACCTGCCGAATGATATCTGGTCAAACATCAATACTACCGTTATGCTAAAAATTAATTCGATTTTAAATAACTTATGTCCCATCAACGTACGACACAAGTTTCTCTTATTCAATTTCATTGTGTTTCACGGTTTAGCAAAATTTAGATTCACTTTATTTTCGACTGTGTTCTGTAATGATTATAGCTTTTTTCCTACTCACAATACTTGCATTCAGTCGACAAAAGAGTCCATTGCTCTTGCGTATTCCGACCACGTATTCGCGCAATATTAGTCTTTCGCACATGAAGAAAGTGTGAGAGAGAAATAGAGAGAGAGAGAGAGAGAGAGAGAGAGAGAGCCCAGTGCGCGCTCTACATATCGACTTCTTTGGTAAACAGGATTTGAAGCTTATTTCGCGGGAATAAGAATAGGCCAGCGGAAAGTGCAGACCCCTCTATTTCCTTTGCATATCAACCGATTGTGTAGGCGCGCGTGTGTAACTCGCGAAAAAATTCGTGACCGGGACCCAAAGGCAAATAAAGAAAGAGAATTTCTCTAGCGAGCGAGCGTTATACATTCATCTGCCGTTCACGTAAAAGATGTGGCGCAAATTGAATAAGCCGGCAAATCGAATTTGCCGAGTAATGAACGAAAGTATATGTATGCGGATAAAGGGAAATTGTTGTTCCGATGCAAGATATTTTTAAAGCGAAGCTGAATGTTGTCGAAAAACCATTTGGCAGATATTTTTCGCCATATAAATATCATATTAGCGTGACCTGGATGTATCATTGAAATGAGTTATACATTATTGATTAATTCATTATCAACTGGTGTGCACAGTTTTCCGTAAGAAATATTTGCGCAGCTGGAACGTCTTTAAAATTATTGTGTTATAGATTAGAGTGGCAGTCTATTTGGTCTAAACGTACTGTTTTTGATTTTCTCAACTATCTTTCATCCATTTACGAAAGCCACGTTTCAACATCGTTGAAAATTTTTAATTTCACGACTTTTAGTTTGTCATGTAGCCTAAAAAGATACCTCCGACTATATCGGTAGAGTGTTTTTTTGAAGAGCTCTTGGAAGTCGCCGAAAGTTTTCAAAGCTATTGAAAAAGCCTAATGGGATGTAAAAAAAAACCTGATAAAAATAATGTAAGCTCTCGAAAAGTAATCAAAATTGCAATGCTTTCGGAAATAGTACTTAACCTTTTTAAAATTATGATCATAGCACAAAGAAAGTTAAGAAAATATGATTAGAGTACAGCATTTTGGTATTTCGCGACCGAAGTCTCTGCACTATAAACTTGAAATTTCTCAGAGTGAAGTTGCTGTCCCCTTCTCGCCCCATTCCTATGTAGAACATATAGCGAGTCTGGGCCAGTCAGCGTGGCTGGCCAGGCCGCGGTCAGACTGAACTTTGATATTTCGTAATTCCATTGCTATCGCAATTAGGGTTTTAAGGTAAGTGGAGGGGGTTCAACGGTAATTACCATAACCATTAGCGTTCGTTGGAGGAGTGAGCGGGAAAGAGAGAGAAACTGTCGGAGACATGGGGGCGCCGCATAAATAGCCACGGCACGGTGGTCAGGCTGACCGCTTGCTCGCTTTCTCTCTCTGACACACAATCAGGGAAGTTCCTTGAGGAATGCGACCGACGTTGAATTTCTTGGGCCGCCGGACGCCGAATTAAACCCGCGAGCCTACGTCAAGACGACTTTTGCGGTCGCGACGCGGGTCGTTGAGCGCGACGAGTGTGTGCCATATAGCCGACACGCTACCAACTCTTCTCTCTCTCTCTCTCTCTCTCTGTCTCTTTGCTACCGATTCTCAATTGGCTTTGACCGGATCGATTGGAGCTCGTGGTTACCGCTGCATCGAAGAACATCAGTTGACACGAGCCGAGAGGATACAGCGCAAAGTCGATCGATCGAAGAAGTGAGTTCAACCGAGTAAATTTTTAGTTGTGTTACATCTTCGTATTAATCTAGATAGCAGATGGTATCGCCAGATCTCTATTACACCATCCAATAAAACATTAAAAGAGCATATCTAATGTGAATAGCTGGTAATCTGGGCAATGAAATCGATGAGTATCGTGAATATCATGCAGCTTATCTGGAGGAACTCGCGAGGCACAGAGTATCGAACGAAACGATACGCCAGAGAGCGAGAGAGTCGAGCATCCGTCGACTTGTGTTCCCCGATCAAATCTCAATCCATC